ATATATATATATACAAACTGTTAGATGAGTTAAGGTACATCATCAGGATTGAAACTGCATAAGCACCCGGGCCCCGAAATGTTGTCATACGCAGCTAAGGAAGCTTCTTCTCTATTATGAACTATTTCTTCGTTTGTTTCTGTACAGATATCTTCAGGAAATGTAGTTTTAGGAACAAAATTTTTTTCAGGCTTGAAATAAGTTTCAATTTTGAAGCATTGGCAGGAGAATTTCTTACTGACAGTGTTTATGAATGCTTCAGTTGCGTTCTTCGGCTGGAATTATATGATATCCTCATAGATGTCCAAAAAATAATTGCAAAATGTAATTTTAGGAAATATATTAATAGTTTACACTTTCGGTTCAGCATAAAATTATCAGATCATGACTTTCTTGATCAACTTTATAATGAACTTTGATTTTTTTAAAACTTTATTTCAACTTAACCCTGAAACTTGATTTTGCATTCATATTATTTTTAAAAATGATATCTATTACTCTCTGGAATAAAATAAAAGGCTCTGGAATATTTTTATATGTTTTCTGTAACTAATAAATCTGTTGGTTTAGTCAAGCTGTGACTTACAAAAATCTGCATCTTCCAAATATGAACAAAATTAATTTCTAACAAGGCTTCTTGTATCATAATTTATGTCTTAAGAGCAAACAAATTTTTGAAGTGAACTAATTAAAAAAGTAGTACCCAATTGTGTAGTAAATCATTTGGTATCAAGTCCCATGAATCTCCGAAATAATATAAATCCCAAGAATCAGAAAGCTAAGACTATCAATAGCAAAAGTCTACATAATATCATTATTGAGGACACATTGAAAAACAGCACCTTTGATGTTAAATTACAACACTATCATTGTCAAATAATACGGAGAGAAAGTACAATACCCTGAGAGTAATCATCTTATCAGCAATAATCTTATAATCACAATAATCTTATAATCACTGTCACTATCACCCTGTTATTAGCTACCAAAAAATTTAAAAGTAGTTGAATATAGACGCATTCACCCCCTTTTCTATTTAACCAATATTATTTATTCTGAATAAATCTCATAATCATAATTGAATAAAATGCGCATAACATAACTCAAGAATCACACGAAATCTTAAAATGGAGCTCTTTAAACGTCAATATTCTAAAAGTGGAACGGTTTTCTCATGCACATATTTTAACTTTAAAATTTTTAAATAAAATTTTTGAAATTTGCATTTCAGATAGTTATGTTATCTTTTTAAATGCTCGTAATTATTGTAGTCGTCTCATGAAAATTGAATTTTCGGTAAATTATATTACAATCGAGAGAAAAATTAACAATTTATGTCAAATTTCTAAAATTCATGAAAATTATGAAAGCGGAATAAAGCTAAAAGCAAATAATTCTTAATAACGTAAATTTTGAATTTCTGGTTAAGAATTTAACTCAAATTTATTAAATTAAACTTAACCATGCAAATTTTAAATTTAGGAAAGCAAACCTGCATTATTCGGATTTTAATTGCTCGTTAAATTCCATTCTCGTCCGTTAGAACAATGGAAGGCTTAAGGTTTTAAGTCAACAATAATTTTCTTTCTGAGCTGCTCAAAATTTGATAATTACATTTACAAAACATGGCGTTATTATACATCTGAGTGTTGGAAAAATCTGCTTTTGAGAACATTTTATTTTTCAAGTTTTTAAAGAATTAGTAAAACTTACGTATTTCAGTGTAGCAAGTAGGGCAACATCCGCACGAAGAGTTATGTTCCTTCACTATTTGCCCATCTTCACAATCTAGCTCTTCGCATTGAACATCATCACAATAATTCGGAGTACAGACAAGTCGAGCACTTGCTATGGAAATCACAGCTAGCAGCAGAATAATTACTTTCAGCATTTTTCTAATCGAAGACAACATTGTATAGTTTTAAAATAGAAAGTTGCATTAAACAGAGGAGGATAATTTTCCTCAGTGCTAAAAATTTTGCAAAATGCTTATTTTTTTATAAACACAGTTTCTTTCCTAGGTTTTTGGGTGCTTTACAGCTGATTCTCACAATTTTTAAAAAAAAAATTATGTATAAAATATATATAACAAATTATTAAAAGACTACCAAGGCAAGTACTTTTGCGACGGTTTGTTAAAAATATAATAAGTACCGTCAAACGGAGCTGGACTACATTTTAGTCATTGGGGGATTACTTTGATTTAATACAAAAAAAAAGTTTAATTTTGAAATAAACCGAATAAACAAAAAGACACAAGGGCATTTTTAGGTTTTTTATATTTTAATTGTTTTGGGTAATTTAAAAGTTTTGCCATTGGCTACACTGGAGTTCTTTTAAACAATTGTTTTGATGAGTAAATTACATATCTCCAAACTTTCTGTTGGGGACTAGTCCATAACGTGAAATAAGGTAAGTTCCAAAATATTAACCTTTGTAACCAGGATGCAATGTGACATAATATTTGTTTTGTTTTTAATGTACTTTTTATAATTTACGTAAAAATTTCCCTTAATAGTATAAATAACTTGAAGCTCAACAGAGAGGATACTCTTAATGAATGGTCTAAATTCAAAAAAAGAAAAAAAGGACAACTTTCTTAGGCTAATGTAACGGGGGCACTCAAATATTCTTGAGATGGCAGATTTGAGTATTAGAATAAAAAGTTTAGCTTTTGTGCCTACTGAAATGACTTTCGTGCGAATTTGTAATGTTTTTTCGTTAGCAGATTCTTATGCAAGGTGTAACAATAGTTTAACAAATGATTTGTAATCAAAACTAGTATGTTGTTGTTGTTTTTAATGCCATTTACCAATATCAGCAAGACTGGTTGGAAAAATAATTCCTTCAAAAATATGTCAATATTAAAAAAGTTTATACCCAACAATAAGGGAAGAGGCACTTTTAGTTTTTGATATATTTTTTAATTTCTCAAGAAATATTTATAGGATTATTTTGTAACTTTAGAGGTGTTTAGTTCATGCGTTTTTTTATACTCAGCAATAAAATTTGAAGCTGTCAGAGGTTTGAAAGACATAGAATAAGTTACGAATAAAAAAATAATATTTTTGAACACCCTACGAAAGAAAATAAAGCAAAAAACTTGTAACTTGCATCGATTACTTTAGTTGTTATTTTTAATGATTGCGCAAATTTAGTTTCGTAAATTTAGAGTATATATTTATGGAAATATGGACATTTTTATAAAAAAGTAATTTTTTCCCTTAGTTTTTTTGCTTTAACGTCATAAATATTCAATGGAATTAAACAAAATTTTTGGAAAAATTTCGGATTAATTGTAAAATTTTTGATTTAAAATTTAAAAAAAAAATATTTAAAAACTGCACTAGTTATGAGCATTTAAGCTGGTTCTTTTATACTGCGCATGCACTAAAAAAATTTTAAAAAGTTTTGTCATAATTTTTTGTAATTTTGCCAATATTAGGCAAATAATGAAATCTTCATTTGAATATCTTGAGAATTTCAAAAGTTTCAAGCAATTTTAAATAGTTTTTGTACTTTTTAAAAGAAAACTCAAACTGATAAACTCAAATTTTATCTTGTACTCTTAAACAAGATTTACTACAAATGAGATCGGCATTGTGGTGGATCACCCCTATAAAAGTATGTGTTCTTTTGCAAGTTTTTTTCTGCAAATCATTCAAGTTTAGTTTCCGGAGGATTATTGTAAGGTATTATTATTAGTCATTAAATTTTGTCTAATGATGCAAAATAAAATTTGTGTAAAACTCCTGATCATTTTGAGCCTTCTCTTGAACTTCTTAGAAAATTGAAATCGATTTATTGACACAGAGTGTTCAAAAATACTTGTTTTTTTGGTAATTTATTGCAGGTCTTTCAAACCTCTGACAGCTTCAAGCCTTGTTGCTAAGTATGCAAAATCGCATGAACTAGTCATCTCTAAATTTTCAAAACATTCCATTAAGGATTTCTCGAGAAATTTAAAAAGTATACCAAAAAATGAAAGTGTCTCTACCATTATTATAATTATTATTTTTTAAACGTCAGGCACTGAACTTATCGTTCTTCGCCATGTAAGGTGCTGGAAGTGCTGCTAATTTTGCGTTGCCTGGTGAGCACCTTGTGACCTGAGCAATATTACCCGCAGCCATTGGCTTCGCAGTCAGGCACGCTAACCACTGGGCCTTCTTTCCGGCTATTGTAGGTTAGTGTATATATTCCTATCCTGTTGCAATTACACTTCATGAGTATATTAAAATGTCGAAAGTTATGAAGTGATTCTTATTTTGCTTCTTTGATTTCATCGCATCAGCAAAAATTTATTTTAACCATTTTAATTAAACTAGATTTTGGGAAATGAGAAAAACTTTGACGAAAAAAATCAAATATATTGATTGAACAATTTAATGTAATGTTTTCCAAGAATGGTACAAGTCTTAGTTTGTCTTGATAAATTTACAAATGTCTTGATCCATCTGCCATGTTGGCATTAAACTCTTTCCTTAAATTTTTAAGCTACTACTATTCATAAACTGATACAAATCTATCATGATTTTATTAGTGAAATGAACCAAATGAATAGTTATAACATTTCGTACTTTTACGCATGAGTTTTAATTTTACTAGACTGATTCAGAATTTAAACTTGACTATTGCAAATGAAAAAGCAAAACTACCATAAATTGATCTGAGTATTAGCAACAAACAGCAAAACAAATTACACAAGACGTTAAAGTATTGGCCTTTTGAACTTAAATTTTTCAATATCTATCATAAAAGTTTACAATGAATAATACGGAGCATATATGTTTTTTATAGGTTTAAAATATTTTTAAACATGTTTTTACAACGTCATCGATAACATTTGTTATTGCGAAGATGAATTATTGCAATCGAAATTTCTTCCACTTTAAAGTCCACTTAAATATTTAAAATAAAGTTTCCTTTCGTCATAAAACTATCTAATTTTAATTTCAACCTTTGCCTTTACGAGTTTATTCTTTTAAGATGAGGACCATATAAAAATTGGCCAAGTTCAAAGGTTTTGAACCAATTTATTTCAAGCATCCATTTCACGATTATTTGAAGAAAAACCCTTCCATTCCAAAACTTGAAGCTCAAATACATGTTTTTTTTATAGTTTTAAACTTTTCTAAGAGTGTTTTTACTAAATCGATTCAGTGACTATGAGGAGGGAAAAATGGCATTGAAATTTCGATCATTTTAAAGTCATCAGTTTTAAATTAAAATTTCGTTGCATTTAAAATTTTCAAACAATAAATTTGAACCTATTATGGTATAAATTTATATAAAATAATCTTACAGAAAAGTGTTCATCCAAAATGTTTTTACTTTTTTGTGGAAAATTATTTAGGTGGTAGATAAAATTGTTCATTACAATTGTAAAAAATAAGGTATATTTTTAATGAAGTATTATTATCAATAAAGTTTATTTTTATTAAGGTATATTTATATTAAAGTATATTTATATTAAAGTATATTTTTAATGAAGTATTATTATCAATAAAGTTTATTTTTATTAAGGTATATTTATATTAAAGTATATTTATTTTAAAGTATATTTGTATTAAAGTATTATTATAAATAAAATATTATTTCTTAGGTAAAAGCTTTTACATATTTAATTATAATTGCTGGTAAAAAAAGATAGGGATTTACCACGTTCAACAAAACTATCTTTTACATTTTAAATGCAGGCTTTGTATACGCAATAATTTTAAATGATGTACCATTTTTTTATGTAAAATATTTTGCATACTTGATTGTAACTCCTAGTACCAAATGGTCATTACTTACCACGTTAAACGGAACTCTCTTTTCAATTTCAACTGCCAATCATATGCACGTAAAATTTTTAAATAAGGTATTATATTTTAATAAAACTTTTTGCTCATTAGATTTGCAGCTACTGGTACCAAAAAGTATTTTTATGATTTTGTAAGATAAACGAAACTATTTTTTACCTATTTCCATTGCGGACTGAGTGCCACTAGGAAGATTTCGACAAGCGACTAGGGGAAGGACGATTCCATAATGTTAAAAACATAGAGTTTCGTCGGAAGAGTAAAAATAGGGAAAGAGGTAATTACACTGAGAATATTGGGGATTTTTTTGTTCGCTTCCTTGGCGTATTGGCTAAATTTCAAAGGTTTACCGTCACCGTTCGCATTTGTTTCTATGTTTATTTTTCGCGACGTTTGCTGTCATTTTCGAACTCGTATAAAATATGTTATTTGTTGAATCTTTTCGTTATGTCTTTGATTTTATTATTGTTATCTGTTTTGCTTTTGTTTTTAAAGTTTTTTTTTTTTACTTTAAAGTTAGTTATATCTTAATACATGTATGTTACCGGCAAAGTATGAAACTTAGGCATTGTATAGAATGATGGATGATTTTAGGTAAAGTATGAAATGTGAGAATTATCCCGGGCAGTGGCACTTGACCTTAAAAAAACATCAGTGTAGCGTATACCGAGCAAATATATACCGGGCAATGGCACTTGACCTTAAAAAAACATCAGTGTAGCGTATACCGGGCAAATATATACCGGGCAATGGCACTTGACCTTAAAAAAACATCAGTGTAGCGTATACCGGGCAAATATATACCGGGCAATGGCACTTGACCTTAAAAAAANTAATTGAACAATTTAATGTAATGTTTTCCAAGAACGGTACAAGTCTTAGTTTGTCCTGATAAATTTGCAAATGTCTTGATCCATCTGCCATATTGGCATTAAACTCTTTCCTTAAATTTTTAAACTACTACTATCCATAAATTTATTCAAATCTATCATGATTTTATTAGTGAAAGAACCAAATGAATAGTTATAACATTTCGTACTTTTACGTATGAGTTTTAATTTTACTAGACTGATCCAGAATTTAAACTTGAATATTGCAAATGAAAAAGCAAAACTACCATAAATTGATCTTAGCATTAGCAACAAACAGCAAAACAAATTACAAAAGATGCTAAAGTATTGGCCTTTTGAATTTAAATTTTTCAATATTGAACATAAGAGATTGCAATATGGAGCATATATGTTTTTTTAGGTTTAAAATATTTTTAAGCGTGTTTTACTTGTACAACGTTATCGATAACTTTTGTTATTGCAAAGATGAATTATTGCAATCGAAATTTCATCCACTTTAAAGTCTACTTAAATATTTAAAATAAAGTTTCCTTGCTTCATAAAACTATCTAATAATAGTTTTAACCTTTGCCTTTACGAGTTTATTCTTTTAAGATGAGGACCATATAAAATTTGGCCAAGTTCAAAGGTTTTTAACCAATTTAATTCAAGCATCCGCTTCATGATTGTTTGAAGAAAAACTCTTCCATTCCAAAACTTGAAGCTCAAATACATTTTTTTTTTTTTTTTTTTTTTTTTTTTTTTTTTTAGTTTTAAACTTTTTTTAAGAGTGTTTTTACTAAATCGATTCAGTGTCTTTGAGGATGGAACCATGCCATTGAAATTTCGATCATTTTAAAGTCATCAGTTTTAAATAAAATTTCGTTGCCTTCAAAATTTTCTAACAATAAATTTGAACCTGTTATAGTATAAATTTATTTAAAATAATCTTTCCAAAAAGTGTTCATCCAAGTGTTTTTAATTTTTTGTGAAAAATTATTTAGGTGGTAGATAAAATTGTTCATTACAATTGTAAGAAATAAAGTATATTTTTATTAAAGTATATTTATATTAAAATATTATTATAAATATAGTATTATTTCTTGGGTAAAAGCTTTTACATAATTAAGTATAATTGCTGGTAAAAAAATATCAGGACTAAGCACGTTCAACAAAACTATTTTTTACATTTTAAATGCAGGTTCTGTATACGCAATGATTTTAAATGATGTACCATTTTTTTATGTGAAATATTTTGCACACTTGATCATAGCTCCTAGTACCAAATGGTCATTACTAACCACGTTAAACGGAACTCTCTTTTCAATTTAAAACTGCCAGTCATATGCACGTAAAATTTTTATATAGGGTATTATTTTTTAAATAAAACTTTTTGCTCATTAGATTTGTAACTACAGGTACCAAAAAGTATTGTTAGGATTTTGTAAGTTAAACGAAACTATTTGTTACCTACTTCCATTGCGGACTGTGTGCCACTAGGAAGATTTCACTCTTATAAGTTGTATTCCGTCTTTCGTGCGTAAGATAGTTATTGTGCATGCGTCAGTTCTGATAAATTGTATATGTATCAGTTCTGGTAAAATATATAAAATATTAAACTGACGAGAATAAAAATGAGATGGTTTGCAAAAACACGTAAGTTAAAAATGCTAGTGTAGTAAAATATTTTAACTTCGATTACAAAAACAAAACAAACATTCACAATGAATGTGAATATTATGGAAGTTTAACTTCTTCCAATATAAATTGTATAACTAGAATAAATATATTCTACAATTTTAAAATAACTAAAAAACATGTTTCTTATGAACCTAGTGCAATTTGGCTACCGTAATTTTAATCTTTAGCCAATAAATATTACCTTTTTTATGAAATCGACCAATTTTTGTAAAAACACACTATTTATTTTAACACTCTGTAGTAGCGAATCCTCTATTTTATTTTTCGTTATTCTTGATCTTTCTTTAATATGTTCATGGTTTTAATCCGTGGGTAGGTTTAAACATAAAGCATTGTCAACAGCTATGATCAGTAGCTTTATGATACCACGCCAACAAAACGTAAAGATACGAAGGATCTAAAAAAAAGTGAGCATGCGGTAACGGCTTCGAATCTGACGTACTCAAGCGTACGTAATCCAACGGGAATTTGCAAAATCTCTTTATTAATATCTTTAAAAAAATATTATTTTTGAAGAACCACTTACCAATTTGATTGTCAAGTACCAAACGGTATTGTTTGAACTTACCTAGTTAAACAAAAAATACTTTACTATACAACCGTGGGTATGGACTCACTTCGTATGTATGAAGTACGCAGCGAACTTCTTTGAAATGCAATTTTATACGTGAGCATTTGCCTTAATGCACGAACAGCTGCTCTATGCACGATAAATAATGAGCAGCTGCTTTAATACACGATAAATAAATTTGACATGTCATTAAATTTAGTTTAATGATGCAGCAAGTTTTTTACTTTTAAGAACATACTCACGAAAGAAAATCCATTATTTCGAAAATCAAGTCATTTAAATTTTGAGTTCGTTAATGTAACGTCTAAATTTTTATTAATAATTCAAAAGAGTAAGAACGTTTCAAAAAATTTCTCTTTATGATAAAGTAAAAAAGTGTCTAAGAGAAGATAGATTAAAGAATATTTAAGTTTATAAATTTAAACTTGAATGAGTTTTAATTTTTAAATTCAATAGAAAATTTATTTGAGAAAGAGCAGCATATTTTATTTATCTTTATAATTTTTGCTACGTTTTAAGAAAAGAATTAAAAAAAGTCCATTATTTTGAAAATCAAGTTATTTAAGTTTTGCTAGTGTTACTGTAATTTTCAAGTTTGTCTTTTTCATAAAAAAGAACTAGAAAATTCCAGAAAATTCTCTTTACTATGAACTAATAGAAAAATTGTTGAAGAAAAAGACAGATTAGAGAAAATTTAAATTTCAAAATTTAAACTTGAATAAGTGTTAGAAATTTAAACGAGAAAGTGTAGCATTCTCTATTATTTCTTTTCAGAAAATTTCCACTTGTCATTCACTAAGTTACATATATTCTTAACAGAAGATATATGCATGCAGATATATTGCTTCTATATTTTGATTAAAAAAAGTATTGCTTATTATTTAAAGAATAATTTTAGCTTCTAACTCTACAAGCGTCAAATGTTATGGTCAGATCAATTTTTGTTGTAATAACCTTGATCCTTTTTTTTAAATCTAAATAAGTGCTCTTGTTTCTTTTAAAGTGAAATAGCCTTGATGACTTCTACTTCCTGATACATTTACAGTTTTTAAAGAGAGTTTCAGTTATTTGAAACGGTTTTATAATAAAACAATTCCTTTCTTTTAGATGAAAGAAATTCTTTTGTTTGATGATGCATTTTTTACATTAAAAAAAAAAGAATGGCATATAATAATCTACGAACATTCCTGTTAACCTAATACTCCGCGAAAAACTGTTAAGGGTTCCACAAGAAATAGGGAAATAATAAGTACGACATAAAATGAGAAAACAATTGTTATTTACTAGAAATACACTGACAGAAATGTCTAGAAAAAAAATGGTTCGATAACAAATTATTTAATTGTTATTTTACCATATTCAAACAATCAGTCAGATAATTATAAATAAGGCGGTATTTAACCTGTTAACTGATAAAAAACAGTTTATTAAATGCTTTCACCTAATATGGTTAAACAACAAGAGTTTTCTCGCACCAACTAGACCCGTCTAAAGAAGTCAATCAATCTCGTGACCAATAGAAGAGCTTCTAGTGTCCTGTGCTCTCCCCAATTTGTGATTCTGGATTATTAGAATACGATACTCTCTTTCACGTATAGATGACAGTATCATAAAGCTGCTAAACACAAAAAAGTCCAGTATTTTCTATCTCTTACGATTAATAAAAAAACCGGATGCCCATTACCGAACAAAAATAGCTCAAGAGTAAAATTAATTTTTTTTTATGGTTTTGAAGTCATGCTAGTTGTAAATGGTTAAAAAACCGTATAGTTTTGTATTTATGTTCTTTTTTACCATCCCAGTCGTAAACGATTTTAAAACCACAAAGGTAAAAAACGTTTTTTTTACCTTAAACTTTTGGTTAATTGGATGGACTCACTGTTGCCGATATAAGTTATTAAATTAGTTCTTTTTATACTACGCATACGAGGAAAAAATGTAATTTTTTTTCCTAATTTTGTAGTGAATCGTATTTGGCAACTAATAAAAAGAGTCTGATTTGAATATCTTAAAAATTTAAAAAGTTTTAAGCAATTTTTAAAGTAGTTTTAGTACTTAAAGACTGCTCAAAATGAAAAGGGGTTTTCCACGAATTTCATTTTGTACTATTGAATAAAATTTATTAAAAATGACAGTAGCATTGTTGTGATTTTAAATTGCTCCAAAAATTTTGTTTCATTTTATAAAATATTTTTAAAATTATCACAAAAAACGCAAGATAATTTTTTTTATCTTTCTTCTCTGTCCTTATCTCCATAGATATTTAATCTTGGTTTACGAAATTTTGTGCAAGTATTGAACATAGTAATCAAAATAATTGTTACAAGTAACAAATTTATTGATACAGTTTTTGGCATCGGATGCTCAAAAAAACTATTTTCCGCTTATAATCTATTGTCGGTCCCTCTAAACCTCTAAAATATCGTGATTTAAATATAATTCTAAATATGTAAGGTCACTCAATCTCTTCAATTTTTTGACAAGGATTTTAAATAAAGATTGCGATACAATTATCGAATACCATACAAGTTGGAGAAGCTATACATGGTTGTCAGGTAAACCCCGATTTTACACTGAAATTGAGAAGAAAAAAAGAATTTCTGATTCACTGAAGTATTTTATCAAATAAAACTTTATTCCTAGTGCTTGATAGATTAAGTTTGTAGCCATGGTATTATTTTTTTATTATAAATTTAGATTTCAATAAATAGTATTTGGAAGATAGATATTTCAGTCAGAGAATAAGATAGATTAGTTGGTAGCCATGGTATTATTTTTGATTATAAATTTAGATTTCAATAAATAGTATTTGGAAGATAGATATTTCAGTCAGAGAATAAGATAGATTAAGTTTGTAGCCATGGTATTATTTTTGATTATAAATTTAGATTTCAATAAATAGTATTTGGAAGATTATTTCAGTTAGAGAATAAGATAGATTAGTTTGTAGCCATGGTATTATTTTTGATTATAAATTTAGATTTCAATAAAAAGTATTTGGAAGATAGATATTTCAGTCAGAGAATAAGATAGATTAGTTTGTAGCCATGGTATTATTTTTTTATCATAAATTTAGATTTCAATAAATAGTATTTGGAAGATAGATATTTCAGTCAGAGAATCCTGTATAGAATAGTATAGAATCTTATATAGACATTTCGGGTTCGTTTCCTGTGGTTGGTTAATCATTTTTGTTATTATTGGTGTTATTTTCATTCACGTTTTATAGATTTCAATGGATAATATTTGGAAGATTTGTGTTTTAGTCAGGAAATCCAGTATATAGCAGATGTTTTGAGTTCATGCCCTTTGTTTGGTTAGTAATTCATTTTAATTCCAGATTATTCTGAAATGTTTCAATTAAAAAAAAAAAAAATAGAAATTTAGAAGTGGCGTCTTTTTTCGAAATTTAATTTTTTTGCAACTCAAAAATAAGATTTTTCTTCAGAAATAAATAAATAAATAAATGATTGAATAAAAATAAATAAATAAAAATAAACAAATAAATTAAAATAAAAAAAAATGAAAGAAAGATAGAAATGAATAGAACTACTTCAAAATTCAGTTACATATTTATTTCAAAAAATAAACAAGTAAATAAGAGCTTTTCTTGCTCTTTTCTTAACCTTCTTTTCATTCAAAACAAGTTTTAAATAGCTCAACTTGGTTTATAATTATTCTGTGCAAAATACCAACTATATAATTCAAATAAACAATTGCGTTTATATATTTAAGTTTTTATTTTATAACTCATTGAGGAAGAATAGAATACATATTTGTAAAAAATTTTATAGTAATTTTTTTTTAAATGGTTAGTTTTTGATGGCAATTATTCTCACTCTATGTGTGATTTCTAGGGAGAGCTGCGACTTCAATCTGCCCTTCTTAAAACAGCATTCTGTTCATTATACCAACTATATAATTCAAATTAACAATTGCGTTTATATGTCAGATTTTTATTTTATTACATATTGTGGAATAATAGAATAATTTATTCCTAAAAATTATTAACAGTTATTTATTTCTTTAAGTAGTTAGTTGTTCATGACAACTGTTCACATTCTATGTGTGACTTCTCGGGAAAGCTAAGACTTCAATCTTTCCAGAATTAAACAGCAGCCTATTACCTTCATCCGTTGCTTTAGTTAAACGGAAATGTTTAACAATAGTTGTAAGGAAAAGAAATGTTTGCGCCATTGCGTATCCTTCACCAATGCAAGATCTTTTTCCTGTAAAATAATGCAAAATAAAAGTTCAATAGAAACAATGAACACAGTGTTCTGCAGCTACTGACCTTAACTTATATTTTCAGAATCTTAGTTAAAAATTATGGAATTATAATTTTTACATTAGGTTGTGGAAGTTGATATGTAAAAGAAAAAAAGTAATAACGTTATAAAAATCCGTCCCATCGTTAGTGACGTCAATAACTACGAAAGTTGAATTAAAACTGTCAATATAACTTAATTTGCTAAAAAAAGGATTTATAATAACTTCAGTTGGGAAGAATAGTTATTGGAAACTCTTTTCAGTTCTATCCGAAAGTTTTATTGATGATTTCAATTCCACACTTGTTGCGGGTGATATCAGTAATTATAACTTAGATATTGATAAATATATCTTTCATTTAAAAGGTTACTGGTGACTTCTTATATGTAGATGCTCCTTATTTCAGTTTCAGTAATAAATGTAAAAATGTTCTTTAAAGTTACTGAAAAAGATACTTTATATATATTTATGGTTGAAACCGTGGTTGTTCAGGATATAGAGAGGTCACCTCCCAATCATTTGACCCGGGTTTGAATGCCAGTGATAGCTGGTCGATACGAATTCCCGGTTCAGCTACCGATCTAAACATTGACAGTCATGAACTCGAATGTGGGTCGGCTGTGAAATAAAATAGAATATATTTATGGTTAAATGCCTCATTTGAATTGCAATATGAGCCGCAATAGCTCATTGATTAAAGGCACTGAGAAATCATTGTGAAGGGTTCGATTCTTCCTGATCGATGTGGTCCAGTTGACCTCGGTTCTATAAGTTATTAAAGCACAATGCTGACCCCCTTGTACATATTGTGTTGCCTTAACCTCCATAAACCACTGGCTATCAACGGGCTATTACGTGACGGCTTGTCTTCATTTGAATGTTCGGTCAACTCCACTTAGTAAAAAGAATGGAGTTAGCCTCACTTTCATGATAATCTTTACCCTTCCCATTGTATTTTAAAGCTACTACATCTCTTATTTATTTCTGATGCTTAACAAAGAGCGCCTCAAATCAGACAAGATAAGAAAAACTATGTACCCGTAAGATTATGATTTTGTTTTTTAAATTAAGCAAGGATGGGGATGGTGCACAATTCAAATAAGGTTAAGTTATATCAAGTAAAGAATTAAATTAATTAGTAGTAAAATAAAATAAGGAGATTCACCTATTCCAAATAAAATCGGAGCTTCTGGTTTCTTTCTTCCCTTTTCCGGAATGTATCGAGAGGGATTAAATTTATACGGTTCTTCGTATTCACTAGGATCGTGATGGGCCACCCAAGTATTAACCAACATCATTGATCCCTTTGGTATTTTGTATCCTAGAATAGTTGTTTCTTCTAAAAAAAATAGTCATAAAAATTATTATACAGAACACTGGCATTTCGTCTATTGTTATATTAGACACGGAGTAAATAAAAATTATCTGACTAACTTTAGTAATCAATAAAAGAAGGAAAAGAAAAAGCTAAGTTATGTTACTCATAGTTTCGTTGTTTTACAGTGGCACAGGCTATCTTATTTTCGAAAGCTTGAGGACAAAATATCGAGACAGAAATCTCGCGTGGACACAACACAATGCTATCTGGGCAGAATATATCAGCTTAACTTTGAAATAAGTACTTAAAAGGATAATGAAACATACTAAATGAATGACACTAAAGAAGAGAAATACACATCAAAACATTTAAGTCTAAAGAAAGTATAAGAATTTCGAGCTTAAATACATTTTGAATAGTTATAATCTGGATAAATATGTTCACACTAAAGTATATACAGGCCCGTCATAACTCACCACAGTGAATGAGGTAGTTTTTCCGTCGGAACATAGAAAAGTATTATTCTAAAATTTTTATAAGTAATATTTTTATTTGTAATTACACTGATTATTTATTAAAAATTAGTTATTACTTTTTAACATAGATCAAGGTAATGTAATAGTTTATCAACAAATAAAGTAAGAATCAAGTAAATTATTAATAATTATTAATTATAGTTGTTGTTCATTTACGACGCACTAGAGCTGCACAATGGGCTATTGGCGACGGTCTGGGAAACATCCCGGAGGATGATCCGAAGGCATGCCATCACAATTTTGATCCTCTGCGGAGGGGATGGCACCCCCGCTTCGGTAGCCAGACGACCTGCGCGCGAAGTCGAGCACTTTACGGTAGCACAGTTTAACAAGGACCTATACCGCACACCCTCGGTCCCTACGCAGACTGATCCAAGTGGTCACCCACCCGCACACTGACCGCAGTCAGTGATGCTTGACTTCGGTGATCTGCTGTGAACCGTGTCTTAACGATCAGTCCACTGCGGGACAAAAGAAATACACATCAAAGCCTTTAAGTCTGAAGAAAGTGTAAGAATTATTAAAGAAAGTAAAAGTATAAGAATTTCGATCATAAATACATTTTGAATAGTTATAATCTGGATAAATCTGTCCACACTAAAGTATATACAGGCCCGTCATAACTCACCACATTGAATGAGGCAGTTTTTCCGTCGGGACATAGAAAAGTATAATTCTTAAATTTTTATAAGTAATATTTTTATTTGTAATTACACTGATTATTTATTAAAATTTAGTTATTACTTTTTAACATAGATCAAGGTAATGTAATAGTTTATCAATAAATAAAGTAAGAATTAAGTAAATTATTAATAATTATTAATTATAGAAATGAAATAAATGTATTAATATGGATTAATGTAATTAAGAGTTAAGTAAATAAATTAAGAGTGGAATTATTAAGCCTCTTTCACATTTAAATAATTTTATTAAAGTAATTATCTGTCATTTATATTAAAGCATAAGAGAAATTAGACGTGATATTCTGGATATGAGATTTTGTCTGCAACCCATTCTTGAAGTAAGAAGGAATATTTTTTGCTTGTAGTCCGTTATTTTTAAAGAATAGAATTCATTCTTTCACTTTTAAGGAAGTTTTGGGAAAAAAAGAAAAGAAAAGAAAAAAGATCTAAAAGCAATTTGAAACAATAAAATTTTCTCGCTTTTACGGATATCACACGAGATAAAAATATGAGCAACCGTAACTCCACTTTAACAGAGACACAGTCTTCTTTAACTAAAGACTTTTCTACTTTGAAAGAGTCTGCACAGCAACATGTAGACTTAAAATAGAGACTGTTGTTAAGTAAGGAGCCCTTAAATGGAGACTAAACTGTATTGTTGTTTTGGATAAAACTCAAAAGGAATTAATGCATTTAATGAAATAGCACCTTCCCGAAGAACTCTACTTGGTTTTCCTCGGGAATCATAATGAAAAATCGCCATGAATTATCCATATGATTTAACTTATATTCAAAGAAAGCAGTAATTTTTTTCTAATACCCACTCGATTGACCCTCGTCATTCATATATCAGTAGGCAGATTTGTTGGCCACTCTTTCAGGGGCCCCATAATACAGAGCCTCTGAAGAGCAATATGTAAAAATACAACGATTAGCGGTATAAGTTAAAGAAACGAATTCGACAAGATCACAAATCTCTTCAGAGGTACCTCCGTTAAATTAAGTCCACGGAAGAAACCACGTCCATTCTCTTATCGAAGAACTTAGAACGGTATTAATCCAAGTTACACGATTCTAAATCGAGAACTGGCTTTTCATTATCTCGGCATTTCAGCTAGCGTTTCCGGGATACGGAAAAGGAAGCTGCAAGTAGAATAGAGAGCACCCCACAAGATAAGAGCCTTGACTAAATAATCGGCAAAACCTGCTGGTGAGTATCAAGTATAAATCCACGGTCACGGATATGATATTGGTCATAGCCTTTAGTTAAAAAGCGACCTCTCACTCGGTACTCGAACCCACTATCAAAACTTTTATTGTACGAAAAAGTCCTAACAATGAAATGAACCAAAAAAATTAAATATAAAAAATCTCTAGAGCTCTATTTGGTGATAAAAATAAAGTGCTACACAAATTTTTGATAAATGAAAACGTATTTCAAATTAAATATGCTAATTAAAATTGTAAAGGAAATTTAAAAGGAACTTACTGGTACACTCCAGTTCTGGTATGAATGGAAAAACTTCGGATGTTCTCACAACTTCTAAGATGAATGCATTGGTATATGGTAGTCTACTCTTGTCTTCGATGCCTGGATCCCTGTCTACTCCAACGACATCCATCAGCTCATTGTAGATCTTTTCTTGCTCTTCTGGATAGTCCAAGAGGGCATTGAAAAAAGCGCTCACAAAAATTCCCACTGTTAGCACACCATCACCAATGCACTGAAATATAGCACCTACTAATGCCTTGTCTGTAAAATATTCATTAAGAAGCATTATTTATTTAGCACATTACAAGTTTTGTTTACTTGAAACAGTTACCAAAATACAGATCGAAGATGCAATGCTTTCGCTACTTGAATCAGGTTCAGTTTCAGTGTGTAAAATGTAAATATAGGCTTTCATATGCGTGCTTAAATTCGGTTTTTAGCTTTTTATGTATGTTTTTGTTTACAGTGCAGTTGCTTTGTTTTTTTATAAACCAAATCATTTGCTTACAGTAAAAACATTTCAACCAAATTCGGTAATTTTATCATGATACCGTAAGGCATGGTATTAAAATATTTATTAGGTTAAATTCACTTTTCAGTTTTGATTTTTTTAAAGTGTCTGGTAATAAAAACTGTAATATTGAAAAGCAGAATTTACTTTTAACCGTTATTATTATGAACGGAAAAATAACCAAATAATGGGTCTACATATCGTGAGTTTTTGTTTCTTTTCCAGAATTATGTTTTCTATTAGAAATGTAATTCAGCATTCTACTACCGTAATTTTAAAACAATTTTCTTCTCCGCGAATTATTTATGATAAATAAAGGTTTAAAAAAACGTAAAGTGGTACATTCTTTCCAATAGATATCATGTGAGAAAAAATCAGTTGAACAAAATGCAAGAGATTTTTTTAATCAAGTAGAGCAATATGACGTTGCTCCGTGAACTAACATAAAGCCTCTTTTCTCTTTCAAACATGTTGCCAGTAAGCTTTTGTATGCTGGATTCAGCTCAAAAATATATTTGGATAAAAAAAATACTAGCATTGACACCACACAATAACAGTTTGAAATATTTTAACCGTCAATTGGATGTATGACTATATAAAATTCTTCCTGATATTATACGTTAAAGGGCATAAACCGTATGAGTGCTATGCAAAAAATCATTTAGAATCTAGACAGATTACGTTGTCACATTAGAACACATTAGATTGACAACTTTGCTGCCCATAGTCGATCGTAAGTACAACTGTTCCTCCATCAGGTCGAAATGACGTATCGGTATTTTATCATCGTCAAGCAAAACTAGATTCATTGAAATAACTTTAATGGTAATTTGATAACGCATTCGACTCACGAATTTTAATAAGGATTCATGAAATTGTTATGATATCAAAATTATGATATAGTATTTGTATTATAGTTATAAAATGATTGTTCCTATCCTTGGTAGCTATATATTTATAAGATTTTGTACAGCGTACATTTTTACCTGTGAAATGTTGAGCTGTAGGATCATTGCGCGATGATCTTTCGATTTTCTCTTTAAAGTACCTGTCTAAGATGTCATTTCTCACACTGTTTTCGTTGAAACTAGATCTGTGTTTTTGTATCATTTTGTACATGTTTTTCGTCATGATCTTCAAATGCTCCACTGCTAGGCGTTTACCTTTGGTAAATGGGTAGATTAGATATCTGTGAAAAAAAATGCATGTTAAATTGATAAAGGATTTGTTTCTTGAAATTTGTTGCTTAGGAAACACAACTCTTTCTATTATACTCAATTTAAGGCAAATATGCAACTGAAATGGATAAAATTAAGATGTGTACACGTTGAATATTTTTTGCAGTGAAACCTTTGTATGTTAACTATTTGTGATACATTGCCTGAGTGGTCAACTCAGATAGGTGGCCAATTTATAGACGGGAATGAATCATTGTTTTTTTGATCACGTTTATTATCTTATTATTCTCATAAATAACATGCAATTTATTTTGCTTGTGTTATTCATCCATTTTTTAGATAATATAAATTAAAATAAAATGAACGTCATCCAAATTTTCAACTTAGCTATAATTTTCAAATTTAATTTAGTAAATAATCAATGTACTTCAAAAAATGAGATTTTAGTTGCAGAATAAAACATTTGTTATATAAATTCAATATTAAGTGGGGTAGTTTAAAAAATAGATAAGCATATTTTGTTAGTTATGCATGCCAGTAGCAATAAATATTTTTTTTAAAAAATATCAATACGCAAGAACATATATGCATATAGGAAACTTAACATTGCATTCATTTCAATATTTAAAAATTACTCAAAAAACACGAACAAAAGCCCTCTATATCTCCCATGATATACTCACATTAGGATTTTAGATTAACTTTTAATAATAGTTAAATGATTCAGTCAAAATTTAATTCATAACATAATGAAAAAGAACATTATCTTAAAAAGGTTTTTTCTCTGGTTTTACGAAGGGTTTTTGTTTCCATTTCATAGTATCCTAGATATATTTGACTGATTTCGGAAGGCAGCATACTTACTAGACGGATGGTCAGGTTATAAAAGTTTTGTAACATATCGATATATAGGATAAGTTCGATTCCTGAAAATAGATGTAAATATAGACAGATGGTCAACTTAGACAAGTAGTCAAATTAGAAAGATGATCAACTTGGTTGATTTCACTGTCTAATAATTTTTACTACAAGGATAAGTTTAATTTGTTAGTTTTTTTCTTCTATTTCAAAATTCGATTTCAGAAGATAACATACTTACTAGACGGATGTGTCAGATTACAAAAGTTTTGCAACATATCGATATATAAGACAAGTTTGATTCCCGAAAATATATGTAAATATAGACAGATATTCAGTTTAAACAAGTAGTCGAATTAGAAGGGTGATCAACTTGAATGGTTTCACTGTGTAATAATTTTCAATACAAGGATAAGCTTAATTTGTTTGTTTTTTTCTTCTGTTTCAAAATTCGATTTCGATTTCAGAAGACAGCATATTTACTAGACGGATGTGTCAGGTTACAAAACTTTTGCAACATATCGATATATAGGACAAGTTTGATTCCTGAAAATAGACTTAAATGCAGACAGATGATCAATTTATACAAGTAGTCAAATTAGAAGGGTGATCAGGCTGGTTTCACTGTCTAATAATTTTTAATACAAGGATAAGTTTAATTTTTTTTAAACAGAACTTTTCCTTTCTAAATTATGTATGCATAGATTTCAAAATGAAAATTTTTTACAATACTTAAGAAATAAGTAAATAAATGGTTACTTAGCAATATCTCCAATCAAAAGTAGGTTCGGTCCTGTCATACTTTCTAACATAAACTCATAAGAATGACATACATCTTTCACATTGTCGTCTGTAACATAGTCTTCCCCTGCAAATAGAGTTGTCCTCAAAATCTTGCTGCTTCCTTTCACGATGACCTCAGTAATATCTAGTGGTTTGCCATCAGCTTTCTCCAAAACTTTCACGCAATCTCTAACAGCTTCGTAAATGGGCCCATTTCTGTCTTCTTTGAAAGTCGTCATTCCCAACTCTTTGAATTGTTGGATGTAAAACTTTCTAAGAACTTTCCACTCTTCCCCGTTTGCAAAAGCAAAAGCTGGAAAAAATTAAGAGCGATTAACAGCAGATAGATATCTTTATCATAAAATAAAGACTGCTTTATGTTTTAATTATATATTATTGATTATTATTAACCCCAAGAAAAACAAAAATTTTATTCTTTATATAAAGAACTGCAGGAATTTTTTTTACTGAAATTATTAATATTTATAAAAAATTAATATTAACATAAAAATGCATTAATATTAGTGTGTATAAAATATATTAAATTCATTTTATCTATATCATATTTACTACATCTAATACTCACTCATGTTTTGAAACGATTAAAGAAATCTATTACAACAAAGGTATTTAAACTATATTGAGTTATTACATTTTATCGTCGATTTTTGTAAAATTTGGGGATACGAATACGAATAATCTTGTTTGAATTCAACTTAGAGGACAAAAAAAAAATCCTGGATTAAACATTTGGGACAAACTCATTTTCAAGGATGATTTGTTGAAATAAACTAAAGTGCATTTGCATGATGATTGTTTTTGTTGGCATTTTGACTAATCTGCATTTGCATGTTGGGCATTTTTTTCTTCCCACATCAGATGTGGAAGGAAAAAAAAATACCACGAAAACCTTCCATGGTTAAGCCGAACACATGTGAAAACCACTATTTTGTGTTAGCTCTGTGATCAGTGGGTTCCGAATTTAAATCGATCAGTCATCGTTGGGATTCGAACCTGATTAATCTGATTAGGAAGCGAGCATTTTCTTTATGAATGGTTGACTGCGTAAAGCAAAGCACAGATGGCGTTAGTGGTTAAAGTTCGTCGTAAGACTTCCGGGTTACTACATCCGATTAATTTTTACACCTAAGCTTGAAAAAGCACGTCATCCAATATTATTATACTTGTAGTGTTTAATATCTAATGTGTTCTTTCAATTTAAATTTAAACGAAACAAGCAACAAATGTTTTCGGCAAACTCCGCGGACATGCTATAATGCAACCCAAAAAATTACAAACTGTGATATTTGGCACAACCGGTCCCCTATATAGTCCGGGACTAATATAGGGGAAGACTTTACACCGAAGAGCCATTACGTTGTGACCACCCTGCTAATAGCATGTAGGACCACCTTTTGCCCTCAAAATTGCAAGCACCCGCCGTGGCATTGATTCCACAAGGTGCTGATAGGTAGTCTGAGGTCTCTGGTACCAAGCGCTCACCAACTGGTCCTGCAATTCCCTCATATTGCGAGGTGGTAGCGTAGCAGCATGAATTTGGTTTTCCAAGCAGAACCACAAATGCTCTATTGGATTAAAGTCAGGTGAATTTGGGGGTCAAGACATCACTTGAAAGTCACTGGAATGTTCCTCGACGATTCGACCCTTATGACATGGTGCATTATCCTGTTGGTAAACACCATCCCCCGCAGGAAAAACTGTTGCCATGAATGGGTGAATCTGGTCTGCAACTATGTTCAAGTAGCTTCCAGATGTCAGGGATTGTTCTATGAGGATTATGGGTCCTAATGTGCCCTATGAAAACATTGTTCCTGGGCGAGAAACCATGAAAACCTGGGAGAGCCCATTGTTACAGATGGAGGGTGGTCATAATGTAATGGCTCTTCGGTGTATATCTATGACTACAGCCAAATAAGGGACAACTCTCAAAACTTGGCAAACCTTGCACTTTATTTATGCCTTGTTAATAATTTTCTTAAATTTGTTTTAGGCTCACAACAAGTTAAAATTTGTAAATTACAGGGAACTACTATTATGAATGGTAAAATTACGCTTAAATTTAAACTCATATTACAATATTAAAACTTCTCAGAGTATTAAGTCTGCTCACACATTGCCTGGTAAGCATACCATAAACAAAGTAATACACCAGAAGTTTTCTGAATTTCTTCCGGTTTTAGGAGGCTTGTTATTGTTTACATTCAGTCAACCCTCTATTGAAGCGTTGCTAATCCGGCTGATTTTTTCAAACACTCAATAACTCTAAATAAGCTCTAAAAATTTCCTACTGATAATATTCAATTTCTTAAATGAAATTTATTAAGCCTGTTCTGTTTAATGTTATCATTTAATAACAACCATTTAATAACAACAATATTTGTTGTTAAAAATGCGTATAACATTCATATTTGAAGCAATAAAATAATAATCTTTGCAACCGTACATTTATTGACGAAGTAAAATTGGGCGGTGATACCCGACAGTTATGTGAGCGGGGCTACCCGAAATCCAATTTTTTTTGTAAATTTGTAATTACTCGAACAATTTNATCATCTAATTAAATAATGCAAAAAGAATAAACCAAATAAAGAATAGTTTAACTTAAAAAAATGAAATAAAAAAAAACATGTTTTTCAGCTCTTTTCAAAATGTGTCGGGTAGCCCCGCCTAGCTACAAAAATTATGTTTTTTGACTGTTTTTTCAAGTATAAATTAAAATGACCAATGTATTGACAATAGATAAACTTCATTTATCATTTTTATCACAAAATTATTTTATTTATTACATATTTATATACTTTCAGTGAATTCTATCATTTAATAACAATCATTTAATAACAACAATATTTGTTGTTAAAAATGCGTATAACATTCATATTTGAAGCAATAAAATAATAATCTTTGCAACCGTACATTTATTGACGAAGTAAAATTGGTCGGTGATACCCGACAGTTATGTGAGCGGGGCTACCCGAAATCAAATTTTTTTTGTAAATTTGTTAATTACTCGAACAATTTTTCACATATAAACTTCTTTCTTTGTGCAAATTAAACTTAAGACTACATACTTTAATGCTGTATGTGTAGAAAAAATCATCTTTTTAGCATTAAAAGGAAGTTTAATCGAAACATTCAACCATTTTTTCTTAATTTCATGACTACTGTATTCATCATATTTTCAAAACTATTGTTTACCATGTTAACAGCTGCATAAATACTTGAAACTTTGAAAATAATCTTTTTTTAATATAAAAATTAATGTCCGATGGCCCATTGACCAGAAAAAATATTCTATACATATGAAATTGACAGTGGGTGGGGGTACCCGACTCTGCCCTAACTATACTTAATATTAATTGCATCCTTCAAAAATATTATCCTTCAAAAAGATAATTTGTTTTAAATTTTTTTTTTCTTTATTGAACTACTTTAAATGTTAGATTAAAAACGAGAAATTCTTCTTCTAAATATAACTTACCTCCATCAAAGAACAATTTAAGCAAAGTGAAATTTTCTGTCCTCGCTTCAAAATTTTGTGTTTTTTTCAATACTACTTCTCTAATAGCGTTAAAGGAACACAGAGCGATATACAGATGACCGGTGACAGTAAAACTGAATATTTCGCCGTATTTTTTTCTTTGATCTCTCAACTGCATATGTATTGTTGAAGTGCCAAAAAATGGCCAGTATCCTATATAGGGAAGGCCCATAGGTCCAGGCGGTAGGCCACGTGATCGAATAAAGCAATAGATGACGGACAGAAGCACAGCAAGTATAGCCAGATAATAAGCATTTTCGTTGCAGGAGAAGATTTTGAAATTCAGAATCATTGTGTTTTTCCTGCAAAAGAAATAAAATAACAGCTAATAATAGATTTAGCAAAGAACATGGTACAATACTTTTAAAATAATAATACCTAAATACTTTTAATATTATGGAGCAGGATATTTTGTTATTTCTGTATAATACTTGTAATTAATGCTACAGGCTTCCTCCTATTAAAGGACCTAAGGCAATATAATAATGAGCCATACTGTGAAATATTTTAGGAAAGTTAAGTAAATTATCTCCAGAAAATGGAGCGGCAAGATAATACCTAACCGAAAACTTCATATCCTGCAAAAATATACAAAAATATTTCCATCTCACCAAAAGTAGGCGCCAATAATTGTTGGAATCTTGGGCATTAATTCGATTTCGACAATGCTAAAATTATTTCTACCCTTTTTACATCGGTTCATCTTGATACCCGGGAACCTTATTTTATTGCTGATTCCCATGTTAACGACATTAGTTCTTAATATCGTGGAAATGCATTTTCCTCTGATTTGCCTCTTGGCCACTGTTTCATTTCTTGTTCTGCTTTTTATCTTTTTTCTCTCTCGGCTTTTGTTGTTTTTCTAGTCTTTATTTTTTACCTTTTTTTTCAATTTTTCGTTAGCAACTTTACGTTTTTTTCCCAAATATTTTTTGTTTCGTTGAGTTTACATCTGTCAACTCCTTAAAATGGACGCTTAGTTTTTAAAGTTCAGAAGAGGAATTTTTTGTTGAAGAAGAACACAATTACCATGTAGGTAAAAAAAAAAAAACGGTTCAATGTATTTTGCTGGTATGTGCTGGAAATTTTACAAATTTGTAAGTGTAAATAAAAGTGCCAGTAAATGATACAAAATAACAGTTTGATGTAAAAGTGTCATTTATATAAAAAATGTAGCTTATCATTATATTTTCAAATGCAGTTTATAATTTAATTTTAAATTTTTATTCTCAAGCCTTTCAATTATCGAGCTTATACAATTGCATTTTCTTTTTGTTTTATCTTTTAATTCCCAGAAAAACACTTTTAAAATTATTTTATAGGTAAGAGTAAAATATTTTGATTTTTTTTTAAATCCCCTAAAATTATTAAAATTCAGTTTTTTTATAAAAAATGTATTTTAAGTAAAAATAATCAAAAAGCTTTACTGCAAATAATATCTCAGATAGAAAGAATACTCAAGAAAAAGTTGTCTTTAAATATACTTTAATAAATATACACATTGTTATTTTTTATAATTTTTGGTATTTATTTCATTTTAATTTGATTTTTAACACAGATTTTCTTTAGAAAACGAATTTAAGAATATGAATCCAAATGAATTTAATTGGATTTAACAATAAATCTTTTTTTCAGATTTATCCTAGATTTAAAAGATTTATCCTAGATTTAAAAGATTTATCCTAGATTTTAAAGATTTATCCTAGATTTAAAAGATTTATCCTAGATTTAAAAGATTTATCCTAGATTTAAAATATAAACTATAAATAGTGTTGCTTTTAAAATGTATCTAAAGATATTTTTAAATTTTACAATCGGTAGACTTTTTTGCTTAAATCTGTTGTATGATTTGTTTAGGTTCATGTCCTGTTCTTATTAGTTTTCAAAACCTCATTTCACAGTATGTGCAGAAATTATTCATTATAAAAGTAATTTAATTTATTCTATATTATCCTACTGTAGTACTCGCCTATCCTACTGTACTATTCTACGTTATCCTACTGTAGTACTAATTTAATTTATCTTACAGTAGTACTCGCTTGCTTTAAGACCACATCATACTCAAACATTTTAGTTGACCAAGAAAATCTTGTAATGCTAGAGGTTTGTTCCTGAGTGAGTTACTTTCAAAATCACAACGTGTACTGCTATACGCTCTGATATTGTAAAAATGAATATGATGGAGACTTCACTTCGATGCTTTGATCTCTACAATCCCCAGGTCTCAATAATGTTTAGATCTAGGGTTTGTTGGTAGCAACTATTGGAAGGTTGGACGCGCTGCAAATATCCAACTCGAAAAGTTCATACAAGAAGTATCAAGTCTGAAGTAACGAAAGAAAAAAAAAAGATTTCTATATTATAAGTGGGTAGTTATTATAGTACTGATTAGTGTATAGCGTTAAATGATCGCGTTCACTTTTCTGTTTTTATGTAACAAAATTTATTTATAATTTTATAACCATCGTCGAACAGCTGACAGAAGTTTTGGGTTTACGACTACTAATAACAAGCTTAAGCCCGTCCCGCCCCGGTAACGGGGCATCCGGGGACACTCCGAAAGTTCGAAGCGAGCGTAGCAGTTCAATTATATGAGCATACATATTCAAAATTTTCAAATTAGAGTTTTAACAAATAGGTAGAATATAAAATATGAAATCCAGAAAACAGTGCTGCTTAGAAATAAACTAAATGCAAACAAACATTAAAAAGAAAATAAACAGTAACAATCGGAAGAGATATTGATGTTGTATCTTCAGTAGGGGTGCAAAGTTAATAAAAGGAAACAATTTCACATGGAAAAAATAGGATGTTTGTAACTCAGAATATTACGACTACTAATGTTCAGCTGCGTAGCCTTGTAATTTTGAATCCAATCCAGAAGACAAGGGAACTCCTGGATCAAGTATAGGAAGGAATTTGCCTTCGTGGAGGACTTTTTGATGGAACTATCCCGCATTTGCGTTACATGGAGAGGAAGACCACGAGAACTTCCAACGGTTAGCCTGACAGCATGGGAACTCTAACCCAAGATCCGTCAACCACTGAGGGTATTTCACGTCAGCACTATGGTCGGTGCAAGCCTAATGTGGAATTCGTATAGACCAGCCATCGCCGTTATTCGAACCCGGTTCACCTCATTATGTAACAAAATTATCAATTATTAACGCTCCTAGTATTTATCGAATAATTAGCGATCCTGTTTAGCATATTTTACTCATTTTCTGTTAGAAACACTATTCGCTGCAAAATATTTTTTGAAGGAACTAAAAAAAAAAACGAAAAGATTTTATAATAAAGGTTTAAAATAAGTTGTGAAAATGTATTCTGGACTCTAAGGTATTCCGGACTCTCTCCTGTAAATACATACTTATAAAATTATTACCGAAATAAAGCCTAAAAAAACAAATATCTACACACATGAGATGATCACCATATGTTGTTATTAACGCTCAATTCTAAAAGCCAAATAAGTTGGATTCTATGAATTTGATATCAAGTGAATTTTTTCGAGCACTAAATTTCAATTTACGAGCCCTAAAAATGTATTTTTAACAATTATTCTATAAGATTACAATGATTCTATAAGATAGTAATTAGGGAAATATCTGAATAAATTAAAATGAAATTTTTCCTTTTAATTTAATTGCAACAGACGCTATTATTTCTACTTTTTTCTAGTCTACATTTATACATATGTAGGAAAAACATCAACATAGTTTTTAAAATAAATAAGAGAATAATATTAGTTCCTTAAAAAAGGAATAATTTGTATTAGAAAATTAAGAAAAAAAGACATTTAAATAAAGTAATTTTTTTAAAGACATTAAAAAGGAAATCAATTAGTTTTTAATGAGAAGAAAAACAAATATTATTATATTATCAAAAATATTATTATTATCAAAATACATAATTTTGTTAATAACTTTAACTGAACTGAACATAAAAGCAAAAATGAACTCAGAAGTAAAAGTAACTTAAAATAGTGTTTTGATACAACGAAACTAACATTGATACAAACTTACGTAAAGACAATTTTTTTCTCGTTTCTTTTGGAAAGGGTTAATTCACCAATTTATTACACAACTGCTTCATGTTCGATGCGGTTCTTATTATCTTTCACACAAAAAAAATTGCGTAATCTTTAATATAGACGGAGCCACTAATTTTTTTCATAAAACATTTCGAGACAAGGTTTTTCATTATTTTCTTTCATAGATGGCAGCACTAAGCAATTTGTTGAACTTTGAAATGTGTGTTTTTTTTCTTGTCTTCATTTTTTATTTATTTATTTTTTGGGAGATCGAATTTTCCATCATTCTTAAAGGGTATGATCAAAATTATCTATTTTAGGCAAGATGCATTATTGGTTGAAATTGCTGGATGAATTTAACAAGGAGATATTTTAAAGTAGGATTTTTTTTTATTATTTCATGATTACATTACTACAGTTAGTGTTAGTAATGATTAATTATTGTATACTTTTCCAAGTATTTTTTTTTCATATTTATTTCAGAAATCTTTTATTTCTCGTTTTGCTGTCTAGTGGCATTTACAAAATGTGAACTATTTTTTAACTAAGGAATCATATGACACTAATATACTTCTTTTTGTCATTACACAAGAAAGAATTCGTAATTATTTTAATGAATTATCCTAATTAAAAATGAATAAAAGAGCTCTAGATAAGAGATTAATATTCAAATACATATTGGATTGTATCTCTATTAATTAAAGTAACACAAATATTGATAAAAGAGTAAAGAGCTATTGATTAAAGTAACATTCTTTTCGGTATATTAAATTTAAAAAAAGTACCTCACATATAGGTATTCCTCTATTTAAGGTAGACGGATCATGGACTAGAATCCCCTTACTGTTGGGCTAAACGTGGGAGGTTTTCGCTGCTTCTTTCCTCCATTTTACGCAAGGCGGATTAGTGCAATTAGAAGTCCTCCACAACAACTAGTTTGTCAAAATGCTTGGCTAGTTTGTCCAATGCTACCAATTTTCTAATGCTCCCAATACTATCTCCGTAGTCTTGTAATTTTGAACCCAATCCAGAAGACTAGGGAACTCCTGGATCAAGTATTGATAAATTTGCTTTCATGGAGGACTTCTTGATGGAACTAACCCGCATTTTCGTTACATGGAAACGACCCACGTAACCCCACGTAAACTCCCATGGAAACGTAACATGAAAACCTCCCACGGTTAGCCTGACTGTAAGGGGACTCTAACCCATGATCCGTCTACTACTTAGAATATTTTACGCCAGCATTGTGGTCGGTGCAAACCTGATGCGGAATTCTTAAAGACCAGCCATCGCTGGGATTCTAACCCGGTTTTCTTCATTGGAAAGCGAACGCTTTCTTTGCCATCATAAGAACCGTAATAGCATAAATAAATCCTTCTAATTTCCTTCCAATCAAATTCATCGCCATAAAAATATCTAAAAATATGACCATAAAAATATCCAAAAATATTCCCAGCAAACGGAAAGTGATGGGGGAAAACGTGGGTCATATCGTAGTTCAGCAGGTGATTTCATATAAAAGTCAATAGGAATCATGGCAGGGCCATTTTTGTTCACGTGGTACTGTGTATTAAACAAATAAAAGAACAAACATATGTTTTATTAGAAAAGTAATACAATTCCCTATTTAAATAGATAAGTTAAAAGAAAAAAGTGCAAATTCAAAAGTCGCGTTTTTCCTTTTAAGGCTTTTTAAGCACATTTCTTAGTCTTTGGATCACATTTTAAGCCGCGAGCACAACCAGCTGTTGGAGGGGGACCTCCTATGGTAATTGGTATTGAGCATCTATCCCCTTTTTCTGAAACAGACCAAATTGAAAATATTTTAATAAATATTTAACATCTTTTTCAATGAAAAATACATTAAGTAAGAGTGAAAAAAAAGATTTGACAACCGTTCTTTGTGAAACGGTGTTATTTGCAGATCGTCTTTTGAAACACTTAGAATGATGACGAGGACTTACATCATAAATACATATTTATTTTGAGTTTCTGAATTAATGTGGTAATTAATATTTATAAATATACTTTAAAATAAAGTGAAAACAAAGTTCAATTAAAAAAAAAATGCAAGAAATTGTAAGTATTGAAGTGGGAACTATTTCGATTGTTAAATGTGGGTATAACAGTGCGTAAAATAAAATTAAATAAAAAAAGGAACACACGAATAATTTTTGAAAAATGATCAGATTTTAACTGTATTACTATATCTCTTAATACAGTTAATTCTCTGACGCAGAGGGGATACCGGTGTCTCTTTTATACAGTTTTTTTCTGTCACTTTAATTGCAAGCAAAAATATATTTTGGTATTTAAAAAATTACAAAAAGTCTAATAGTTACTAAAGAAAATTGTTAGATTATCGGAATTAAATTTGTACGATAGTACAACATCGGAAAAAAAGTAGTTTGACATTTTTTTTCATTTATATTAAAAAATTTATCCAGAATTGATTTTTTTAAATTAAATAAATTTTAATGATGAATAACCGTTTCTCTTAGATTTAAAGAATTACAAATTTAAAAAATTTGAAAAATTGAAAATACGAAAGTGTAAAAGACACCGAAATTTCACGCTGTGTTTAATTACCATAAATTATTAAAATGCTAAATAAATTTTCACGTATTTTGACCTAAATATTCGCAAAATAATGAAAAAAAATATGAATTTTTACAAAACATGCTTAATAAAAATTCTGCTTCAAAGAGTAAAGGTTGAAGGATTTAGTTATGTTCTAATTTTCCCGCTGACCAAGAATTTTTTCACATTTTTTAATCAATACAACCATGTTCCAAAAATACCTGTTTTTCCAAGAAAAATTTGCTAAAATAGCTATACGTATATGTTTTTTTGGTTTGAAAAGAAATAAATTTTGGAAGGCGTGTCTGCGACATAAAGAAAGTTTCTTGAAAAAAATCTTTTCCTACAAAATTATCTCAGGGTAATATGCCAAAGAATTATGAGTATAAAAATCACCATAGCTTTGGAATGGTATTTGAAGTCTTGAAAGTTAATTAAAGTGCTGTTGCGGGATTTGGTAATCGGACTATTCTTTTAAGAGGAGTATTCCCTTTATTTACCCTTTCAGCAAATCATAATTTTCCCAAAATTTTCCCGTTAACCATGAATTTTTTCCCATTTTGTAAAATATTTTCTGTGTAATTAAAGTATAGACAGTAATTGTTACAAACAAATGTGGGAATGTTGAGTTCGAAGTGGAAGTTTTTGGAAGAGCTGAATACGAACCCACATTTCATGGCCAAAATATTTCCTAGAACAGTGAGTTCTGCAGTAAATTTTACATAAAGTAAGTTCTTACTAATCAATCAGGAATTCAATAAATTTATTAAATCAAAATTGTAAACAAATCACTTCTTCGAGAGTTCGAAGAAATAATTTTCAAATCATTGAGAAATATACAGTAATTTTTACAGTACATGTTTTGATTTAGTGCAGAATAGTAAACAAATAAAAACTTTTTTGAGGTTTGAAAGAAATATTTTTCAAATCGTTGATAAATATACGTTAGCTTTCACAATTTATAAGCAAATGTCCACTTAAAGCCTTTTACTTGTTTATTTTCGTAAAATCTGAATGTTACTGGAGTGTAACAGAAACGTTTAAAAAAATTGGGGAGAAAAGTGCTTTTTTTTCCTACTTAAACGGCAGCTTTCTGAAACGAAAATTTAGTATAGCACTTACTTACTACAGTATAGCACTAACTTACTGTAGTATAGCACTAACTTAATATTGTACAGGACTTATTTTCCATAGTATAAAAACACTTACTCAATTCAGTATAACAAATATCACAGCAACCACAGAAGCCACCTTTTTTCTTGACAACTTGCCCTGGCTTACATTTTAAATCTTCACATCTGTAATCATCACATATATCTCCGCACGCTTGCGAATATACCACAGAAATCATTATTGAAAGCAAAAGTAACTCTCTCCACATGTTTATCTGAAAAATAAATAAGTATAAATGTAGCACAGCACTTACTTACTATAGGATAGCACTTACTTACTGTAGCTGGCGATAAGGGCAAATAAAGTAAGAATGACCTTTTTAAGCATAACATATATTGTATTTTTTAAAGATTTATTTGTAAACTTTTTCGAAATAAATGACTATCGAAATTTTATTCCATGAAATTTTATTATCGAAATTTTATTACATTTTCCTTTTACCCTGTACTAAAATAATTCATAGTTCAGCTATTTCTATTATATATCATTTGATTAGCGATACATACATCGGATAGGAGTTAGGGAAGAAAAAAAGGTACACAGTTTAACAATTTCATTTACAATAACAGCTTAGCATTATTTTTATGAATCGCTTTAATATCATAAAATATTGAGAAATCTAATATAATCGAAATTAAGCTATTAAGCAATATACTTACCTTTAAAATAGGTAACTATCTTAAAACTATTTCTAGTAAAAATCTCAAAATTGTATCAGTTTTATACAAAAGGTACAGACAAAATGTCACGATTAAGTTATTTATCAGTCATGATTCTTAAAATATGATGAAACTCACTACCTTAGATTCTATTAAGCCTAGCCATATGAATAAACATAATAAACTATTAGGTCATTTTTATTAAATTATTGAATATATTGAAACAACTGATTTAGCAATATAGCATTTTCTATTTCCTACTGTTTACAAAATGCATTTCTCTTCGTCTAGTTCAATCATGTTTAATCATGTTTCTAAGATTAGAATTTAGAATAATATGACATATTCAAGTATCTAAATTATTCATCAAATAAACATGATATCTAAAAGAAAAATTTAATGTACTGTGAAATATTCTTTCGGCAGATATTTATTTTCATAATATATATAGAGAGGTAAAACCGATAGATTGCAAAATTATGAAACTGCTTTCGTTAACTTTAAAAACAGTTCAGGAGATGTTATTTTTACGTAGTTAGCTAAACAAAATTATCCTAAAATAGTTTTTATTTGACGTGTGATGTCATATCAAAAACTAATTTTCCTTATTTCTCTGAAATTTATCTAATCGAGATCATTAGCTTCTTATATATCAAACAATTATTTGCTTTTTTGAGCATAAAAAACTTAAAAACCTGAAACTCGAAAAAGAAAATACGCTAACTGGTAAAATTTTTTATTTCATCAAAAACATTTTAGTACCTAAGAGAAGTTCTGGAAAGACGATGGAATAAAAAAAATAAATATATGCAATAATTACTTATTCAATAAATTATTGTCTTTCGAACTTCTGCAGGCCACAAGAATTTTAAAGAAAGAGTTTAAATTTGAAGTACTGAAAGGGTGTTTGATTTAAATAGTAGGTTTTAATTGAAATAGAAGAATAAGATGCAAACTGAAAAGGAAAATTAATGAAGAAAATGTTCTTATTCGTTACGAGAAACTGTAAAAAGTCACCATTCTATTAATGACAACAATGATGCCTAATTTTGGTTATAGGCACGATTGTCATCATGGTATTTTGTGCAGTTTTAATACTTACTAAGTATACGTGTATATTGATTAAAGTCCTTTATTATTTTTCCAAATACAGCAGTTCAAATATTGTATATTTTTATGATAGATTTTTACGGACTTATGAAGATATCAGTTCAGGAGAAAGTAGGCTGATTGTACACAGTAAAAAATTGTATTCAAAAATTATCATAAAATTACCGGCAGCACTCTGTCTATCCAATTAACCATAAAGTTTACGGTAAAGAACCTTTTTAAAGCTTAACGGTTTTAAAACCATTTACAATTAGTTTTAAAAAACCATGAATACCAAAACTACATGGCATTTTAATAATTTACTACCATCATGATTTCAGAGCCATAAAAAAAAGGAAAGAAAAAAAAAACTTAAAAAGACTCGGGAGATGGTTTAGCAGCTTTTTGGTGCTGCCATCTATGCGTGAGTAAGTGTATCGTATTCTTATAGCCTAGGTAGGCTCAGAAATCGGGGAGTGCATGACAATGGAAATTCTTGATGTGTTGAATGGAACGATAAGATATTGTGGTGTTGGGACTGGAATCCCTGTTCCGTCGGTCATGAGATTAGCTCTCTCGACTATAATATTTAACCATCTGAAAGTAATTAAATTGATTCATTAGGTTCTTAATTCTGGTTGTTCAACCGTAATAGGTGAAAGCAGATAATAAACAGTTTTTCTCACAGTTAACAGTTTTAATACCGTTTTACCTGTGGTTAATTGGCTGTTTTGTTCGTGTATGGTCATATAAAAATGAAATAATTTGCTATTTAACCATTTTTTTGTAGAAATTTCTAAAATTGCAATAAGTTTTAAATATCATGAGCTACCTTTATCAACAGCATTATGCCCGATAATACCGAATACAGCTAATTTTTATTTTGATGGGATGAACTAATATACACGTATTTTGTTTAAGCTAATAACGTGAAGCCACCGAGAAGAATATTAAATAAATAAAAAATAACGTTTTATGCATGAATTTGTAGTGTTGTTCAGTACTGATTATTTGATGCTTATTTTTTCACCCCATAAAAAGAAAGAGGATTCAGCTAGTATAAAATGAAACATAAATAAATTAATAAAAACGTTTACAGTTGTTGTCTGAGCATTTTTATTGCAGCAAAAAATATCCTATGATCTCTAAGAGTCCTCTTAGGATAGGATCCTCGAAAATTTGGTTTCTAGGTTAAATTTTTAAATTGTGTCTTCTCGATAATTTTTGGCACTTACCAAACTTTTGATTGCATAATAATGTGTGTGTGTGTTAGACAACACAATAGTCTGAAAAAAAAGGTGGAAAATAAATCTTAGTCGCTTCATTATATTGGGGGAAATAGCGCTTAGTAATTTTTGAAACTTCTTTTAAGTTTTCCTCAAAACTTCAAAGCAATAAAAGGATACGATTCGTGATTTTGAATAAGTAATTTCGAACTAATCAGTTTGTAGATTTTTTTGAAATCTAATTTTATTGCAGTTTTAAGGAAAAGAGATTTAATTAAAGTTAAAAATTTTCCTTAACGTTAATTGCGTAAAAATAAAGATTCTTATCAAAAATCTAAAAACTAATAACTGTTTATAAATGAAAATTCTTTCAAAAACTGTTTATTGCAGAATTGTATTGGTATAATTTTGTGAGGAACGATAAATAGAGGATCTAAAATATCGCACGCTTTATACCTCAAATTCTGTCTGAGTGGGGGCCATATATTTTACATGTATCGAAGGATAGTGCTAAATCGAATAAATATCCACCATTTGTAAAAAACAGATGAATAGGATTAAAGGCATATTTAGAATTTTCCCTCCCCGAATCCATCTCTTAGAATTCGGTCGAAAGAAGAAGGGTCCCGTATTTGAGAAAAAATTAGTAAACGTTAAAAAAAATGAATAAAAGATAAACGTTTTATCAAAAAACTCGTGAAAGCAAAGGCCAATAAAGAGCCACATACCGATTTCACGAAGATTTCCGTTCAATCAAAAATGACTCGAATTAAGCTTGAAATGATTCCACCAAATCTGTGGCTCTACCTGAAGCAACCATAATCGAGTTCGAGTTAATGGCGGATGACACTTCCATCGAAGCAAACGAACGTGAAAGTTGAGTCAAATCTTTATGTTTTGCAGGGTAAGTGTAAGCTTCTAATTATTGCTTCCACCATATAATCTTGTGACGGGACAGCCTGGTTGGAAGGGCGCTATACTCCCGTTCGTTAGAATGGGACTTCGATTCGAATCTAGCCGATCAAAGACTCTCCACGTAGTAAATGGTGACTGGTGTCTGTTATAAAAGTGTTTGATGTATGGGTGTGGCAGAAGTTGAATTCTTAGCCGTAGATGATTCGAGTCACTTACTGATTCGAATTTACTGAACCACTACTACTTCGTATCAACAAGTGTTCTGATAATGAAATTGCTAGATGACTTCTTATTGTTTGGCAGTAAGCTATTGTTACCAATCAATCTAAAGAAAAACTTTTAAATTCTTATTTTTAATCAATATATATGAAATGTTCCTTCAATGGGTAGTGCTCTTTCACTGGTTGGTTTACCCTACACCCTGTTAAGTCTTTGTTCATGTACATGTTGGTACTATTCCATTTCAGTCGGTCTTAAAAAATCCATTGCCTTTGGGCTATTATAAGTTCATTTTTTCCTTAGACCTCAATTACTTAAGCATCCCTAGAGTCAATAATAACTTAGCAAGCTACGTACGCTTAGGGATTAAAGCTACCACCTCCCAATGAAATCAGCCAGGGAGGTATCCGTTGTTTTCTTCTCCAAGTAACATAAACAACTATGTTACTTGGCCAGATTGCCACAATCATGCCGTTAGTCGTGAAACAGAGGAACCAAAATCTCCATGATCAGTTTTAGCTATTTTTGGCTTTAATATTTTTTTTATCTATTATATTACTTATATTCAACTTAGTTTGTCATTTCAGCTACTTGTGTTATATTTTTACCAAAATAGATCTTGTAATATTATTTAGAGTAATAATCTGGCGGTTTAAAATTAAAAGTGTTAAAAATAAAATAATAATATGAAAAAAAAAGTAATAATATGTTATTATCTTATTACGCTAATGATATATTTTTCATCAAGCAGGTTTCCTAGTATATTGGCAAGCATATATATATTTTATATATATTGGCAAACATATATATGTGATATAAGCTGATATTGCTTTAGAAACAACACTTTTCAAAACTGCCTGAAGTTAGTTTTTACTGGTGTTGTTTACCTTTCTTAAATTTGAAAATGAAAAGCAAATTTTAAAATATTTAAATGTGCTTTGAACACCTACCGAAACTCTTTTGCTTTGTCAGGGCTCTGAACAAACTTTTATTACTGTTATTAATAATATAAATACTATTTTTCATAATAAAAAAACAGCTTCAGCTAGTTTTGAAGGGTATATTCTTATAGAAAATACATGCATTTAATTATTAATTTTTGAAAAATTAGAAATTTTTGATTTTGAAGCAAAGTTATATTTAAATGAAATAATTTTAGCACTCTTATGGCACACTCTTTAAATTCGTTAAGCAGTGAAGAAAAATATTATCAATGAAATAAAACAATAAATTTACGTTGGAAGCAAACTATTATCAATAGTAAAGTGTTTTGTGTGGTTTTTTTTTAAGGAAATCTAGAAATTGCAACATTTTTATACCAAATTTACTAACAACGAAGGCAAGCATTGAAGATCTTTTGGTCATGATTCCTAAAATATGACTTAACGCAATTATTATAATGGATTAAATGATTCCATCATCCTCCACAGTATGAATAAATAAAATAAACTAAAACGCCACCATTATTTAATTTTGCATATTTGAAATAACTGATTTAGAAATAAATCTTTATATTTTATCTTCATATTTTGCAAATTTACCAATTATGCATTTGAAGTGGCATGCTTATTCGATATGTTTTCCATGATTATAAGATTAGTAATTCGTATTTTGCGTTTTCTTCATATCTCTAAATCGTTCCTCAAATAACCTTGGCTACCTTATATCTCTTAAGAGGATTAATGTTTTTAC